TGAGGGTTTTTAAAACACTTTTAAATATAATTTTTTATTTTTATTCTAATTAAAACTTTTAAAATTATGTAAGTATGACATGTGTTGCTTAATTAGTTTTTAACGGTTGTTATAATCGAATCACCTAAAGTGATAACATTATAATGTTAGGTATGTAGATTGATAAAAAAAATTATGCACCATTTGTGAAAAACAATTTTTTTTTTAGTTTAAAATTTGATTGTCGGATTGGAAAACTCCGTGAGTAAACGTGACGCCACTTTGGTTGAGAAGACTTGACAAAGTATATTTTGATTCAGCGCAAAGATGGACGGTGGAGATTTAAGATTAGAGTGATATTCGAGTCAAAACAATGTGCGTCATAATAGTGCACTCCGCGTCAGAAAGTGAGAGGTACCCCACCACGCCACACCACACCACATTGATTTACCTATTTTACCCCTATCTTCTTTTTTACGCCCACATAAATCTTAGTACTGTTCATTTTTTGCCCTTTCATTGGCCAACAATTTTTCTCACAATTGACCATGGGATTTTGATCATATTCTAAAACATAAAATTATTTTTAAAATATAATACTATTTGACATATTTTTTTAAATATTATATTATTTTTAATTTATTTAATAAAAATATAAGATTATAATATTTGTTTGAGAAAATAAAATATTATTTGAAAATAAATTTTGTGAAATTATCATTGTGATATATTTTTTAGCAAGTTAAACGGTTAGTATTTAAATAAAAATGTATATAAATTTTGTATACTATTTAAATTTTATAAAAAAATATATTAAATTTATTATTTATATAATTAATATTTTAAAAAATTTAAAGATAAATTATATATTTTTAAATGAAAAGAATTACAAAATATTTTTAAATGAAAAATAAATATTAACCTAATAAGAGCAGATGTACTAACCCCTAGAAAACAAGTGCATCATTATTATCTAAAAAAAACTTGAAAGGTGGTAGATAAAGATGATCGAGAAGAGGTGTGAGGCTAATAAAGAGCTGATGGAGTCAATATTGCCATTTTATTTTCCTAATTTGATTTTTACATAGTTCGAGTTCGTATCTCGAAGTGCCAAGTGGCTCAAAGAGGTTGAGCATGCTAACTTGTTAAGATAAGTAAGATGATAGAGTTTATCTAACTAGTTCCACCATTGGATTGTAAAACTACTCTATCGAAGCCAGAGGTGTTCAAACGATCCGGCTACCGAATCAAAGTGGCTGTGCTCGGTTAGGATTTGGAGATCTGGTTGAAACAAAGAGAGCTGAATGATCGAGAGGCAGAGAAGCTTTGAGTTTTTTTATTAAACCATTTTTAAACAAAACGCCACTAAAATACTAAATTATTGCGGTGTTTTAAAAAAAACGTCACTATAGTACTATTTTTACCGGTATTTCTCCAATAATACCACCTTTTAGCAGTCTATCGCGACATTTATACAAAAAATGCTACGAAAGTACCAAATTATTACAACAACAACAACAACAAAACCCTATTCCCATATACAATGGGGTAAGGGGGAGGTGGGGTAGTAGGCTGCTCCCAACGCCAGGTTGAGAGCAGCTTCCGTGGAAGACCTCCGGCAGTAAGAAAATTAAAAATAAAGATAAACTACAATGCATAGATAAATAAGTCAATAAAGACATAGTTGAAATAGTTGAACAATTTTCATACGCTGTCTTCATATGCGCGTCTGTAATTTGAAGTAATCACTGCAAATAAATCCCTGCGTGAAAATCTCTGCTTATAGACAGAAACGTAAGCCCTGGCTAAATTTAAAAGAGAAAACATGAAGAGAAGGATAAACAGAAGTCAGTGATAACAACCTGCGATAAGGAATAAAGTTAAAATGGTTAAAACCTAAACTAAGGTAACACTACTCCGCCACCCTAATTCTAAGCCTACATAAATTCCAATGACAGAAACATATAAAAAGTAGAATTCATGGAAATTACTACAAAGGCATTAAAAAAAATACTGAGATGCCCACACTACTCAGCTACCCTGTCTTAAGTCTCCATACTTTCCTATCGGAGGTCATGTCCTCGGTAAGGGCTAAATCCTTCAAATCAGATCTCAAGCAGTCTACCCACTTCCTCCTTGGTCGTCCACTCCTTCTGGCACTGTCGACTGTTATCGACTCTACCCTCCTGACCGCATCCGACGATTGTCGCCTAAGAACATGCCCAAACCACCGTAGTCTTCCCTCCCTCAATTTTTCGGATACAGTCACCACCCCCAAAGACATCCTAATTGCAGAGTTTGGTGTCATGTCCCACAGAGTCCTACCACATGCCCATCGAAGCATTCTCATTTCTGCTGTCTCCATCCTCCTTAAGTGATCCTTCTTGATTGCCCAACATTCTGATCCATACAGCAGCGTTGGTCTTATTGCCATTCTATAAAATTTTCCCTTAAGTTTTAGAGGCATCTTATTGTCACACAAAACTCCAGTTGCAGCCTTCCACTTTAGTTATCCCGCCTTTATACGGTGTGTAACGTCATCATCTACACCCCCATCTTTATGTATCATAGACCCTAGATACTTGAAACAATACTTTAAGGGGAGAACGTGTCCTTCGATGCATACTTCTACATCTTCATCGTTTTGGTTCCCACTGAAGTTTGAACATAAAGTTACAATATCAATGATGTTAACACCGCTAAAACTGCTACTATACCAAACTTGGTGTAGTGTAATCATCATGAAAAATAGCATTAATGCACAAATCACAACCATGGTAAACATTATCCAGCATCAAAATTATTTTAAAATCTTACACTTGATTCAAGTTTATTTTAACATATAGTATATTATGATCAAGAGAAATTTAATTATTTACAGTCTTATGGGCCCTTTTAAGTCTTATGCAGTGATCGCAAATTATTTGAGTACGTTGTAAAGCATTTTTAAACTTTAATAGCCTAGGGTATTAGTGCCATATTGGGGGAGGGTTATCGATACTCTCCTCAGGATAGTGAGTAGAACTATTGGTATCAAATCAACATTCTGAAATTTAATAAAAAACCATAATATTAATATTAACACGTAAGTCTCGATACTAGATGAACAATATAGATGTCAAGAATGAGTATTATTTTTCTTCGTAGAGAACGTATGAATTTTAGAGGATGTTCTTATTATAATAATATTGTATGAACTATATTAGTATAAAAACCTATAAAATACTATTTTAGTATAAAGAAACCGCCGAAATTAACTCTAACCATCTAGTTTGGTGCCTTAACTGATTTTTAAAGCATGTGGTATTAATAACACATCGATTAGAATTATGTTTACAACATTTCTTTGTCCTATCTTCTCGACATATATATAAGAGGAAATAATTAGGATTTATTCATAATATTTAGCAAGCAAATCTTACTTGTAGTCCTTTTTCATTCTTCCTAAATGTAGAGGTTATCTTTTATATTCAATTTATCATAATTCTTATTCGATTAAGCTCAAATAATTTTTAAATCTAATCATATTTATTAATTCATGGACACGTCGAACCGATATTTATATATTGACTTGATGATTTAGATCGTTGTTTTCATTTAGATCTCTTAAAATATGTGCGCGTTTAGTCTATTGACCAAGTTTGCACACTAGTGTCTACGAGGTTCAAGATCTATTGGGTAGATGTAGGGTTCACAAATAGATCTAATTCTTCGATCTGTGTGTCAAAATGTTAATACTGCGCGCTAAAGATTATACGTACTTGAGATATTTGGTAGGCTAACGAAATCGAGAAAATAAAAAATTCGATATGAATCTAGTAAAGTAGTTCGGTTTGGTATTATACGGTTTGATTTTTGTTCGGTTTAAAGTCTTCATTCTTTTGATTCGGTTCGGTTGAGTTTTTCATATGGAACCTATTTGTTCTATATTGAATCAAATACGGAATTTTTTTTAAAAAAATTATAGTTTCAAGTGATTTTTTCATTGAAAAATCGATAAACCGAAAAACCAGAACCGTTAAAAAAATCGAATCGAACCAAAAAAACCAATTTTTGATTTTTTCGATTTTTTAACCATTCGATTTCGATTTTGATTTAAATTTTAAAAAATCGTTTATTTCGTTTGGTTCAATTTTTGGTAAAAATTCGAACCGAACCGAATACACCCTTAATATTTGGCCTTAATAAAAGGTGTTATAATGGTTTTTTTTATAATTAAATAAATTGTGAGTATATATTATTTTATATTGTTTTAAAAAATTCATACATATGAATAATTTTTTATAAAGAAAATAAAGTCGATGCAATAAGATATAATTTTTTTAAATTCACAAATAATTCATTAAATATATAATTATGGCATTGATAAAATATTAATTGTAAAATAATTCATCAATAAATAATGCTTGTGAAGAAAAGTATATTTTAAAGGCATATTTCTTTATTTTCAAATAAAAAATACTCTAATTTATTTATTAAGTACGAATAAAAAAAAATTAATAATAAACGAATATTATTGTTTATTGAGATTTTAAGTTTAGACCCTTAAAAAGATAAATTTTGGTGGTTGAAAAAAAGCGGAATTAAAATATGAGAAGAAAATTAAAAATAATGCTTACGTGACAAAAGCGTGGGATACGGCACCAATTAGAATTAGGTCATCAACAAGTGGCTATTGGTGGATTCCAAAAGATTTGTTAATTCTACTTAAATCACGAAACATTACCACGTAAGCCCACATGACGGGTGGAATAGGTTGGACCCCCCCTTTACCCGATGTGCGTAGATCGACTAAATAACTAACACGTGTACGGTGCATCTGACGTTTGAATAAATAAAATTGGCCAGCGCGAATATCGATGGGCCAACTCAACCAACTTACTTTGCCCCCTCCGTATATACGCTGTATTTATACGCATGCTTTTCTACGACACGTTTTCGGTGATGTGGCTGTTGCCTTGGCGCTCTCCCTCTTCTTCTTCTTCTCCTTAAACCTCTCTCTCTCTCTCTCTCTCTGCGGATTTGAAAAAGAAGAGAAAAAATATCCAAACTTGTATCTCTTTGTTTCTGAGTGAACATAAATATAATGCAGTCTTTTTGAACTGTTTTGTTTTGTAATTTTTCTTTTTTCCTGTTTCGCAATTGAGCGTTGTCCAATTTCGCTGCTGATAAGAGGATTTCTGGATTCGGATTTTCAAGGTATGTTGAAGTTAAAGTTCTGGTATTTGTTTTTTATTTGGGTTTTCCCAAAATTATTGGTAAGTGGATTGGTGTTTTTTTGGTTTTGTTTGGTTGTTTGGAAGGCTGATGAACGTGCGGCAAATTTTTTCTTTTGGGAATTAAATCTAGTTCTGGAGTTTTACTTTTAAAAGATTGGTGAGGTAATGTAGGGCAGTGGATTCAATTCAAGTTTTTAATTGTTCTGGAAAACAAAATGTCTCTAGCTCCTTACTGAACTAAACCTTTTCAATACATATAACGGAAAATTTGTTGGATTTATTGAAGTAGTCATATACGTCCTTCATCTTCGGTCCTTTTAGTGAATTTTAGCGTCTACTTTTTCATTGATCTGTGTGAGTTCGTCGTAATTTATGATATGAAACTTCGAACTGCATGACTATTTTGGCCGAAAGATTTAGAATAATTTTCAAGGAAAAATTAACGAAGCAATGAAATTGAGATGAGGAAATTAGACGTTGAAATCCGAAACAGAACTTAACTAAAAAATGATTTTCTCTAGACTTGTCTAATACGAAAACTAATAGCTCAAAACTTCAAATCTTATTGCTTAGAGAAAAGCTTGCAGGATAATTGCAGAAATCTTCGACCTCGGTCTTAAGGGTATATTCGTCGTTTAGTTGACAGATCAATCCGGTGGATTATGTTTTCAAAATTTGTTATTGCTCTTTACTTTTAGGTCTGGGTACTTGAAAGACGGTTATATCCCCATATTTCCATATGTTTTTTACGGGTTGAGTACCATTCTCCTATCTCTTCATTTAAATGATTATTTTTTAATTTTTTTTTGGTAAACATAAAATTCAAAGATTTTCTCCTTTCTTCTCAGGGATTATTTTGTTGATGAAAATTATATGTTTTGAAACTGAATGAAAACCCTTTGTTGGCGATAATCCTAGTGTTTGGTTACGGTAACTTTTCAAAAGTAGCCTATTTGTGTTTATACTTTTATGTCAACTTATATTACCAAAGTTAAGCCTTAAGATGAGTCAAGTTTCCGTATTGGTTTATATGTACGTAGAAGACTGGATTTTGTGGTATTTTTTGCACTTAAAATCAATATTTAAAGAGCCCGTCAAGACTTTGGTGAAATTTGACAAGATACTATGAAATAAAACACTAAATATTAAATCATACTGTACTTGCTTTAATTTATGTCGAATTGTATATGATAAGCCGGTTGGATTAACCCGAAGATGAAATTAGATATCCGGAAATCATGTTTTTTGCTGTAGGTAGCTATTGACATGCATCAAGCCAGTTCAAGGATTACAAGTTTAGATTTGGTTATTTTGATGGTGTGTTTTTTAAACATTGAATAACATCTTGTTCATTGGGTCTGCACTCCAACTCGGGGGATATTGGCCTTCTCAATGTCAAAAACCATCGGCTTACATTTTGCATAAAGAGTAATAGAGAAAATTTACTTTCTGAACCAGTTAACCCCATTTTGTTTGTTAATCCTTTTTCTGAACCCTTCCTATTGCTCTTGAGAAAGTTTACTGTGATGCGCAACTTCATGTTTCTCTCCTTGATTGCAGTTGACAGAGAGGGTTGAACAAATTTCTAGAAAATAGGTTTTCAACTTTGGTGCCTGACAATGGGAAACAATGATGAGGGAAAGTCTAAGTCCGAAAAATCTTCACTGGTGCCAACTGTAAGCTAAGAGATTATATATGTTTAATTGAATTAAGATGGATCTCTAAAGTAGTAGTTGCAAAATTTGATTGTATTTAATCTATTAATATTTTATGCTCATATCATAGTATTGGTCAATACTGTGGCCTCTGGCCATGCTCCTCCCCCTTATATGTGGGGTCCTCCACAGGTATTGCCCACAGCTCCAAGGCATTTATCTTTATTTAAGTTCATCATTGTATAACTCTGTACATAATTATTGAAAATACTAATTTGTTTTCTCTTTTAGCCTATGATGCCACCTTATGGTGCTCCATATGCAACAATCTACCCGCATGCGGGAGTTTATGCCCGTCCTGCTGTTCCCTTAGTAAGTTTACTTTGTCACTATCTTTTTAAGTACAGTATTAATTTTATACCAAATTATCTAGGAGCTTAGGTTTTCAGAGGTTTGAATTTGGATAGTACATGTACTATCGCATAATTCTCTTTTTCTTCCTCCGTATATCTAGACAGCAATCTATTTTATACTACTACCAACTTGGTAATACTCATCACATTCCTTATGGTACAGCTAGTAACACGATAAAGAAAATTTGCATTTTTTTTGCCCTTAAGATATGATTTGTGTGCTAAATAAGGATAACATGGTCATGATATTCCATCATCTCCTGAAATGCATTTTTATCTGTTTGCTCTTTGAAATGTTATCCTTTTATTGTACCATATTATACCTTAATGCATTTTTATCTGTTTGCTCTTGAAATCCAAGGATAACATGGTCATGATATTCCATCATCTCCTGCAGGAACTCTTGTCTGTTGAATGATTCATCTCAAACTGTTGCTATTTTGTTTCTATTCATTTCTATTTTTGATGCACATGCACATACACTGCTTTATGGGAAGTTGCTACTTTTTGCTTATTGTGTTTAGCATATGCTGAATATAACCGGAGCATTGTCCTGCAGACTTCCACCGCTGTGGAAACTCCTACAAAATCATCAGGAAATACGGAATGGGGTTTAACGAAGAAGATGAAAGGATTTGATGGCCTTGCTATGTCCATAGGCAATGGTACTGCAGAGAACGATGAGGGTGCAGCTGAGCCTAGAATGTCTCAGAGGTTTGTTAATATTTTCAAGGCCAAATAGTAATTTATTAAGAAGATTAAAGAGCTTTTCCATAGCAACTCGTTTGTTAGAGATTTCACAGCCAAGTGCTTTTTCCTCTTATTTTGACTTTTTTTAATAATGTGGACAGTGCGGAGACCGAAGGTTCTACTGATGGTAGTGACGGGAATACGACTGGGGTGAGATCTCCCTCCCATCTGGTTAACCTGTTTTCCAACATTTTTTTGTTTTAGTTTTATTTGACTGGTATATTAGAAAATGATTTAAGGATGAAGTGCTAAAGCTTATTTTTATCACTGTGCCTCTTTGGTCAGACGGATCAAAGTAGACGGAAAAGAAGCAGGGAGGGAACACCAACCGTTGGTATGACTCCATTCTTCACCAAGTATATTCTTGATGAATAATAGAGTTGACCTGAAGTTTTAGTCAGACTTCTGTATAGTAGTGGATAGTTGTCAAATCTAAGGCATCTTGCAATTGCATGGTTCCTTTAATTTGCATTACCTTGGCTTGGTTCATGTCCTTGATAAGCAGAAGGTTTTTGTGATTCCCAAAAGTAACTTGTCTTAGAAAATGAAAAGAACTTGAAAAAAAAATCCATCTTGGAAACATTTGGTCCACCTCCATGTCTGGAGGTATAGTTTTTTGATGTATTGTCTCTGTTGTATCAGGTGGAGATGGGAAAAATGAGGCAAAGGCTGCGGTGGAGGTAACTACAACTATTTCTCCTGGCATGAGCACAGCATTGGAGCTTAGAAACCCTCCCTCTATGATTGCTAAGTCCAGTCCAACGAACGTACCTTGTGGAGTAATGCCTCCTGGAGTCTGGATGCAGGTATTTGTGGTTGCAATTCTTGTATTTCTACTACATTGTTCAGCTTATCCATGATATGCTTTTTAGCTTGTGTATAATTTGAATCCATTTTGTTGATTTCTATAGTAGTTATTGCTTTTGATTGTGGATAGCTAATGCACATTTCAGTGTTTTGTACATTGAGTCAATGGGTTGGGTTGTGCTATCTTAAGCTGTCGCTAACGTAAATGATTTTTAAATAGAATGAACGGGAGCTGAAACGGGAGAGGAGGAAACAATCGAATAGAGAATCTGCTAGGAGGTCAAGGTTGAGGAAGCAGGTATTCACATTGCTTTCTTTAAGCCTTTTTTACCAGATTTGAAGTATAACAATGAATAACGTGAAGCTAATGCCATAGTTATCGTTTTGTAGGCTGAGACGGAAGAGCTTGCCCGAAAAGTCGAGTCCTTGAGTGCAGAGAATGCAACACTCAGATCTGAAATAAATCAGCTAACTGAAAAATCAGAGAAAACTAAGGGTAGAAAATGCTACATTAGTGGTAGGCATCCTCAGCTTTTTCAGTTATTTTAATTTACCACATGCCTGATTTATGCCTTGAACTCCAAGCTATAATGCCTCTTGTAACATGCAGGAGGGACTGAAAGCTGCTCAATTGGGACAGGTACAGGAAATCCCTACGAACAACAACGATGACAAAGAAGGTGAAATGTATGAGAAAAAGTCAGGTGCCAAGCTGCATCAACTCTTGGATGCGAGTCCAAGAACCGACGCAGTTGCGGCCAGCTGAGGAAGTCAAAACAATTTACAGCGGAGTTAGTTTTGACATTTTACGTCGGACAAAAGCGTGTAGCTTTGGCATAATTACAAGCCCAAAACTACTGCTAACAGTTAGCAGAGGGATGAAATAGTAGTAGAAATAGTTGTTTTATTAGGGATTGAAACTATGTTTGGGAAGTTAGTTGTCATAGCAGAACTGATGTAGTATTTGAAAATCAGAGTGCAGAGAAAGCCCTGAAAAAGAAGGTTAGTGTACATTAAGGAGAAATTAGATACTGTGTTTAGGGAAAAGGGTACTGAAAGAAACCTTTTATAATAATCGTGCAGTTTTTAAATGCCTGAGAGGTTTGGACTGTGGCATGTGATGTGTGAAATGACAGTAAAATTTCATTCCTCTTTACTGTTTTAGTTATGATTAGAGCTTATAATTTGAGTTGAATTAAAAAAAGTTGAGGTTGTGGATTTAACAAGTTATTTTATAATTTAAATTTTATTTAAAATTTTTATAGTTAAATTTATGAAAGTTAAGTCGAATTATTTAAATTTTTTATTTAAATTTAATCGAAAATGTTATAGTATTATTTGATTTAGTTTAAACGATTTTTTATTACCTCATACGACATATATATATTTCATTATATGTGGCATATATATTATGCGTAGTCGACAAAATCAATTTTTTAAATCAAATTTAATTTTCCTCAATACTATCTACAACCCCTCCTTTAGACTTCTTGACAAAATCGCAAACCCAGGAACCCAAGCTTTTAGGACATTTGACAATTTACAAAAGGTTTATTCATTTAACTATTTGTATTGATTAATAAATTAGATATAAGCAATTAATTAAAAAATCAAATATTCGATCAGTTGAACCTTTAATCTGATTTTTATATGTAATTTAAATAAATAATTAGAATATTTATTTAAAAAACTTAAAATGGTGAAAGAAAGAAAGCGCGTAATGGTTTTTTTTGTTTTAATTCAATTTATTAAGCTAAAAACTGAATAGATAAAAGGAAGTAATTGATCTAACAACAACGTTGAATCCAGAATATAATGAACTAAAACCAATAATAAAATACATTTATTGCAATTCATAAAATAAAAATAAAAACAAGGTTCAATCCTAAGCAGAAATTACTCGCTCACTTCAAACTTTCATGCACTTCAACTGCGAATATCGATCCTGCACCCAAAGTAAACATGTCCCTCAATACATAAAATAATTACATATATTAATTAATACTCCATTAAACATTAAATATAAAAGTTCTAATTAAATTAGTCTCACAAATTAATTATATATCAATTACTTTGAAAATTATATTTTTAGTATTTTAATTTGATAATATTTTTTTAAACAGATAGGAACGCCGGTTTTTATTAAAAATTCGTAAAAGTTTTAAAGTTGTATTTACTATTTACCATCTTAAGGTGTGGGTGACGCAGTTAGGCGTATCACCGCCGGCAAGCTGTTTCATGGTGATTCCCTTGCAATTAACGGTAACCCCCAACATGCCGATCTTCAACCCCCCGACACCCACTCCGACTTTCGTCTTAGCCGCCACGTTCACCGCCAAGCTCTTGGCTTTGTACCCAGCCAGAAGCCTATCAGCCACCGCATCATCCGCTTGCTTGTTGCTCGCCTTCGTCTCCACTTTCAAACTCGTCGTGCTTTGTTTCTTCGAAGTGAACTTGGGCACCTTCATCGTTCCCAACTCAGTCTCGTCCCCACCTTTTCCGACGCTGGCGTCGACCACCGTGTCGCCGAAATAATACGTCATCTTCCTGTTGGGGTTCTTCACTTCAATTGCCATCGTTGCCGCGGCGTCGAGGTGGGTTCCATGGGGTTTTCGGGTGACGTTGAAGCGGGAGATTTGGAATGATTTGACGTGGAAGACTGGCAGTTTAGGGTTGAACCAAAAGTAGAAAACGGCAGCGAAGATGAGGAGGAGGGCGATAAGGATGGAGAAGAATATGCAGAAAAAGCAACAACAAACATGACAACAACTGCTCCTTTTCTTCTTGGGTCCGAATGAAGGCGGCAGAATCGGCTTTCGCGGCGGCGGTCTGAACCCAAGATTTATGGGCGGAGAGTTTGGATCTTGGTATCCCGGTGGCTTATTGAGAACCGATGGAAATGCATTTTGGGACATTGCTTGTGTACAGAATTATGCTATCCTAAAAAAACAGAGCAAGCAATAAGAAAGATAGGGTTCCAAATTCCAATATCGAATCAAGCCAATGATACAGAGATGGATAAGGTTTGTGCTGGGATGAGAAAGACAGAAGAGAAAAAAGAATTTAAGGAAAGCGCAGAGAATGGGATGAGGAAGACAAGAAAACTGACAGGACCCGAGGAGAGATGGATCTAAAATTGCGAGAAAAGTGAGTAAAGTAACTATAAAAACCAAAATGGAAAGATTGTCCCGCCTGGATTTAGCAGCCGAGATTCAAGCGCAGCGTCTTACTTTGTTCTACTTTCCTCCTTGTTTTTGTTTCAGTTACCAAGTCGCTGGGGTTTGTTCTTCAAATACGTACGCTGCATGAAAACAGATACTTTGAGCTCTTTTATAAGGCAATCACTGTGAATTCCATACAGTTTGGTTAAAATAATTTCTTTGGTTTAATGAATTACACCTAACTTACCATATATATAAAGACGGAAGCATAGTTTTATATTACGAAGAATAGATTTATAAAAGTTTAAAAATTACAAAAATAGATTATAAAATAAAAAACTTTATGGACTGCTTCATCTCTCAACCTGAATGTATGTTCTCTTATATAGTTGATTGGATTTCAGAGAGATTATAAAATAGAGATGACTGCGGCGGCGGCGAAATCCTAACACTTCTAAATGACTACTAGCGCCGCCGTTTCATCCATGATGTTATTCATGTCAATTTCCTTTTATATTAAGATGGCTTATTGGGTAAATTCTCAACTAAACACTTGTTCCCTCCGCTTCTCGTTAATTTTGTTTTATATAGACTAAACATACAATTTTAAAAAGATAAATAGAATTGCAAATTAATTCATTAAGAAATACAAGAAGACCAAATAGGCAAATTATAGCTCAACATTTTCTGAGTTTGGCGTTGAATACTAATCTAAAATAAAAATCACGTCTTAATTAATTTAGACATTGTTGTATCTAAAATGAACAAAGATAGTAGTGGTACAATCCTCTCTAGTTATAGGTGAAGTCATAAAACAAGATGGGATGCAATGTATTCCATATGGGAGCATTAGACTTACCTTTTCTTCCTACTTTATTTCACAAATTTGTTGGCTGAAATAACAAGTAAACCAAATGCATTTAAACCAACACCTAGTGCTACGTTACATAGATAAATCAGTGACGAATTTAAAATTTTAAAAATAAAGTTTAAATTTGAGTATTTTTAAAGAATAACTACATTCTTCTTCTCATTTTCCCTTTCTCTTTGACACATTAAATTAAATGTAATATTCCCCCCCTAAAATAACGAGTATGCATTTACGCTCCAAAATAGAAAAAAAAATCAATACTTTTAAGTAAAACAATGTACATGGAATCGATGTTTATTCTTACATAGGCGAATTGTGAATTGAAAACTTTTATTTTTCAATAATTGCTATTGATTTATTAATCGATTATTTTGGATGAAATTTTATACTTGATTTTTAATCTAATTTATTTCATTCGTAAATATCACGTATCAAATTCTGACCTGTTTAATAAATCTAGTGTTTATTCTCACTAAACCAATTGATTATTGGTTACGAGATAAAAACTTTAAAATACTATAACTTATGTTAGAGCGTTCTGTTCATTATCAATGACCGAGACGTTTTATAATTATTTTCATCTAATTTTTTTGGTATTTAGGAATACTTTAAAATCTTGGACTTGATTTTTTAACCGTAGAGCTTAAAAATTTATTTTTTTATAAAAATATATTATTTTATACGAATTTGATATGTGAACATAAAAGACTTGATAATTTATTAAATTGTTTGACCTTAGTCTTTAGTTCAAATTTTATAACATTTTTTTATGATTGTGAATAAGGTTTAAAATATATTTTCAAGATTCAAGTCAATATTATAACACCCTAATTTAATTAGGCCCAAATTTAGAAAATTCAAATGTCATACAAAATCAGGAATGCCCTCTTCAAAAAACTTCACTCCAAGGTTGTATTGGAGGAACTTCTCCTTGATAATGTGCACCATTTACATACTTTGATTATTTCATGGGTTTTAAATTTAATTTATTATAATTTGGTCAATTTAACCAATTTGTTCGTAACGTAATACTTTTGGAGCAAGGAAGAAAATATCAGACTACACATGGACTTTGATTTAATTATTGTAATTTTTAATATTTAAATTTTAGTTTAATGTAAAAATAAGTGTCCAAATCGTATTCTAAGTTAGTTTTATGTGTATAATTTTTTTCGTTATGCATAATATTTTCTTATTACACTTTTAGGTGCATATACCATAATTGTCGTTAAAAAATCATTAAGTGACATGTGTCACATTTATATATTTTTTAAAAATTTTATTTAAAAACATTTAAAAATAAGTAATTTTGTTCCCCTTCCTCCCTCCCCCTCTCTCATCCCCTGCAATTTCGCCCTCCCTCCCCCTCCATTTTAGTGGAGGATTTGAACTATTACTTTCTAAAGTTATTTTCCAGCTGCATTGCTTGCACTTTTAGATGAATTTATATGCTTCCTTGATGACGGTGATTTGCATGACATATGCTCGTAATTGAAAAAGATGGATAGTAAAACAATGTACTTTGAATTACACAGTTACGTTGCATGACGCAGGGGGTTTATCTCTCCGGCTCCAAGTTGTTTGGGAGGGAGGGGAACTTTGCACAACATTCTTGAACATTCTTGATAGAATTCGAATTCATAGTGTGTTAGAATAATAAGTAAAGAGATATAAAACTGATTTATCCGGCAATAATCCAAAACCAGTGCTGGTCATTTTCCATTTTCCAATAATATGCGAAGAGATTAGAGGAAAAATGAGGAATCCAACCACATGAAATGTAGGTAAAAAAGCACACTTTCATCTTAAGATATTGCTTTGAATTTTTCATTTGTTGTTTGAATAATGAATACCATATGGAGTATAAAATAAAATTAAAAACCTGTCCAGTTCCACGAAATCTCATCATTGCATTGCATCCCCCACATGTATTATATTTAATTGGATTCCATAACATTGTGAATAAGATAATGCAGACAATTCGAATCTTTTTCCATGGAGCTGGATTGCTGTTATTCCAAATGCCTTGTTCAACGTCGAAACCCAATGTTTGGACACAAGAGGAACAAGTCCACCCACAACATTCATCTGAGGTAAACCCAATGTTTGGGAAAATTTTGTTGCTTTTCTTCATTATTGTTCTTTTGAGTTTTAACCAATCCTTGGTTTTCAATAATTATAATCATACACAACATGAAGGATTTGTCTTCACAATCTGCCCACTTTCTGTTTTAATCAACATGAATGAACTCGAATCTAACGCTATTGAATTATACTCCTCACTCTATGAGCTCGAAATTCCAACTTATCTTCGAACAATGTAATAAAAGCAGTGATCGATCCACGGCAATGCACTTGATCATTCACATACTTGCATGATACTATTTGTTCAAACTATGTCTCAGATGCTAAAAAGGGTTCTTCCAAAATCATAGAGTAACAACTGTAATATATATAATATACCTAATAATTACAAAAAAACCAAATGAATCAACACAGATGATTGCAGCAGACTTTTGGGAGGTTCACTTTTTTCCCCTCTTTCTAGTTTCTTGACACAAGTGATTGTCTAAGCTTGAAAAGAAGCCAAGACCTACTAGATAGCTTGAAATTTTCTGACCAACCAGTTGTTTTGCTTGCCGTAGAAACCGACATATATTAATGAAATCATGAATATCTAGGGCTGTGATGCAGTAGGAGATGTTGGTGGCTTCAAATCAGGATACTGCAACCATGAAGCATGGAGACATTCACAAATGTAAGCATTTTTTTCTCTGTTCATGAAGCTGTAGGAATATATAAAACAACATAAGGAGAAATGAGAATCATGGAGTAATAAAAGTGACATTACAGAAGCATATGGTGAAAGTGGTCTAGGGAATCCGGAGTTCCCATCAGCAGTGGATTCTGTTTTCGGAACTGAATTAATTAGAGGGGTTTCTGTCGCTGCTTCAACTTTCAACTCCGGTTTCGCCTCTGTAGGTGAAAGATTAGCCTTGCTAGTAGTGGCAGGCTGTGATGGAGTAGGCGAAGTTGGAGGCTTCAGATCTGGATACTGCGACCATAAACGAAGGAAACATAAGCATTTCCCACTTCTAATACAAGTACATGCAACAGCAACAAAGTAACAAAAGGGACATTACAGAAGCATATGGTGAAAGTGGTCTCGAAAATCCAGAGATTCCATTTGCCTCGGATTTTTTTTGGGGAACTGAATTAATTTGAGGGGATTCTGCCACTGCTTCGACTTTGAGTTTGGGTTTTGCCTCCGTAGGTGCAGGAAGAGCGTTGCTAGGGGTGCTTATTGTTAGAAGGGCCACTCCAATTTGCTGAGTTCACAGGAAAATAAAATATATAGAAATTTGTCAAAGATAAGAAGAAAAAGTTTTCTTGGCAATGCTCAGGCAGAAAAAGAAGCATACAAATAATCACCATGATTTATATCAAGTTCGGATACCTTTACATCATCAAAAAGTTCCTTAGGAGCCACCTTTGTGTTTAAAAATTCATCAACTTGTTGCAGGGTTTGCTTTCGGTCCTGTTACAATTAGCACCATAGAAACTTAGAAGTCAAGTTAAGCCATTAGTGATGTATTCAGTACTTGTTCATGACCATATTGTTAGAACTTAAGTTGAGCCGTTCGCTATGAGCATAAGCTTTTAGGACAATTGATCATCCGAGTTACTATCATTCAAAGTTAGCTGAAAAACACTTAATTTTCGATTAGATTTATAGAATAAGAAAGTAAAACAAATAGAAAGTGGAGAGTTACCTCTGCAAATAGGAGTTTCTTGCTTACAAACTGCACAATAGCAGCTGAACCTAGAAGTTGAAGTATTGTTTCTAACTGCAGAAGGTATGGGAATGCCACAACTTGAGTTGTTTTGATATATATATATAAACTTAAATCAAAACAAAATACAAAATAATTGATGGAAGAAAAAATAAAGAGTCAAAGGTAATAAAAGGACTTAAAATGCTAACCTCTGAAAATGCCAAAAAGCCTAGTCCAGCAGCTGCAGCAATACCTACAGTAACAGACAGGCCATCTGATCCTTCCTACATAGTATCACAAACCATTTATCTTATAGTAGAATACCAAAAAGAAAGACTGAAAATTTACCAAAAAAAGACCATGGAAGCTCTAACAAGTGTCTATGAAATGAAAATCTTAGAAATGCATAAGCGATGATGGGATGAAGATATGTACTCCAAAGGCCTCGGTGAATGTTTCTGTCAAATTGCCAAGGTCAATGCCTTTCTTTGGTGTTAGCCAGGGAAGACCACTGTTCTGCAGAATATAAACCTGTCTCAAAGGAAGCAATTGAAAATTTTAAAAAGGAAAAAAGAATGAAAACATATGGAACAGCAAATACCACCCATCCCCGAGGTCCATCTGCACCATCTTTTACTGCATAAGCAGCTTTGAATCCATTTGCAGTGACCAATTCCGCAGCCAGTTCAGAGTTCCCATCAAATCTGGCTTTCAACACAAATTTGAATAACATTAGAAGATGAATCAAACAGAAGTTAAGTTTATAGTTGCATATGAAATGTACTTCAGTCGTGCTTAGCTTAGTACTAAATTGCGGTTGCAGAGAGGGTGCGGTGTCGCAGATGTTGCAGACATTACAACGTAATTTATTTCCTAAAGTTAACTGTGTTTTTATGCTGCAAATGCGATTTGCGGCGGTTACACTGAGTAGCAGCCGCAATTTAATACTATGGTGCTTAGACTATCAACTTAGAAGTCTTCAACCCATGGAACAAAATGCAGCTATAGGATCAACTACGAGACAGGCAATGGCAATATACATTTCTAGATTCTTCCTTCACAATGGAGGCACACATCATTTGTGAAACCAAGAAAAAATCCATTTAATCTTAGATACAGAGAGATAATCATCAATAAGGCTTAGGGTTTCAAGAATCTTACTTGTCTATGATGAACAAGGTAGTATTTTCAGGTTCCTTGAATTTCAAAGACAATTTTTTCAAGAACCCAGGTTTATCTTCGCCATTATAGGCAACTGATACCGGCTTCTTCCCAAAACCCCTAATGTCAGGGCTTCCGACGTCTCTAATCTCCTTGAGTGGCCTTATGTCCAGCAACTGAACAGTGGCATCATCACCTAGCTTGGCATAAGCATTCTTTGCAGACTCAACTCCCCATGGTTTAGGATTCTTCAACAGCTGAGACAAAATCAATTGAACTGCCAAAACAACAGCGCCACCAGCCACAACCGTGGGATTCTCAGTTGCAAAACCGAGGACACTATCAAGAATCCCACTTGGATCTACTTCTAATGACGAAGGGGACCTCGTAGTCTGCTGCAAGGTTTCCTCGTACGATAAAGCTTTAGCGAAACCAGCAGGGAGAACCGATGAAAGTAGCAGTAGACCCCCATGCAAGCTTCTAGACAAACAGTAGTGCAAAGCTGGTTGGGTCTTGATAAAAAGTGGGGAGTTGGGGAGTCTGAGTGGTGAAGCAATGGAGAGCAATGGTGGTTTTCTGGTTTCTGTGCTTCTGTCGGAGAGAATGGTGAGGGTTGTCAACCTTGGAGTTGCTCCATTTGAGGCTCTTCATTGCATAATTTGTATGCAAAGTAGAATTGGTTGGTTGGATGACAAAGGCTTAGCTTTGGGAGGAGGAATTTGGCTTAGACCCTTAGCTTAGTCTATGCCACTCATTGCCTGACACGTTGGAGTGAGATGGGAGAGGCTTTGCGATGCTGTCTGATCTTAAAGCCATTTTGCGGCTCTTAGAACCGGACCAGTTAGCGAACTGGTCATGCTATCGGTTTATTGGTTCAATCGGTCGAATCGGTTCGATCGATCGAAAGAACCGGATGACGTCATAATTATTTAAAAAATTAAATAAAAATATCAAAAATATTTAATAAAAAATAATTTTTTATATCACAAGTCATATTCAAAGCAAGTCATAACATATATAAGTTAAAAACCATAAAATCAAGTGAAACAAAATTATTCAAATTAACTACAACATAATATTTAAGGTAAAACATATTAAATAATAAATATAATTATATAACTATAATTAAAAAATAAATTTGGGGTTAAAAAATCATAAAAAAATGATATTGTTTGGTTTAATTTTTTTTTAAAAACAATATCACATGACTAAGAAATATAGAAGAGCATCCCAAAAGTCTAAAGAGTAAAAATATGAGAACAAAACAATCTCACATTGCTAAGAAACATAAAAGCGCATCACAACTAACTTCTATAAATAATAGAGGTAATTTGGCATTCAAAATCATGGAGCCTTTTGGTGTAGCATTGAGTGAACTATTCTTTTACTTCAATCAAGCTCGAATTTTAGAATCAATCGAGCTTCTATTTTTTTTTTGATTTCAAGCCTTTTTGAGTTCAAGTTTCAATATTATATTTGAGTTTGAGTTGAACTTAATAATTTTTAGCTTGTGAGTTTGAGTTGAGTTGAGCTTACTTTTAAAGTTTTCAAGTTCGAGTCGAGCTCAGCAATACTCGAGTTCGACTTGGCTCGTTTAACAAACGACATTGTTTGGTTTAATTTTAAAAAAAATCCCGGTTTTTTTGGTTTTTAGCTGATCCGGTTCGAACGGTTCAACAGTTCTGACAGGTACACTAATAACGGTTCAACCGATTTAGATTAAACCAGACTAATAACAGTTCCGATTAAACGATTAAACCAACCGATCCGATCCGATTTTCAAAACAGAGCTCATAATTGTCTGCCCGAAAACAGTAGTACCGCTGCTACTATTACTATTTCCTTCTATTGCAAATTTAAAATTATAATATACAACTGTTTTATATATTTATAAATTTGAGATAAATATAATATAATATTTATTCAAATACTCTTAATTATTTAATGATGAATACTCATACCCTTAACATATAAATTACTCGAATTTAAAACTTTAAAAAATATTAACAAATCCTTTAACAACTAAAATTGCTTAATTGGTACTATAATTTACAGCTTAAACTGTGATAACATCGTAACATAATAATTATTGAAATATAAATTTGTATACGATGTTGATAACGTTTTTCAAATTAGTATTAGTTTTTTTTATTGATTTGATATTTAATTTTTTTAAAAACAGCTAATATTTATATTAGAGTGATATATTTTTAAAAAAATAAAAGTAGATGGTTTTATTAAAAAGAAAATATTTAAATTAAAATAATGATTTATAACTATAATCATAAAATAAACACATAATAAAGACATTTTACTATAATAATTAACATAAGAAAACTAGCCACATCAAATAAAAAAATAATCATAGAAGAAAAAAAGTTAAAACATAATCAAATAAACTCGAACAAAAAGTATATACGAATAGATTGACAGCGTCAGCAAGCAAACCATAAATGCAAATCTCGTATCCAAATACAATTTGAGGGTCTAAAGCAATGAAGATCAACATGATAACAAATAAGTGTCATCTTGATCAGTAATGACGATGTCAAATCCAAACCTGAAAAAAGATAAATGAAAACAATGGTCAAATGACCGAAAACGTTCCATAAAGACGTAGAAAATCTTGCCATAAAAGTAAAGGAAATTTTTTCATAAAGATAAAATTATTAGAAATTAAAAAATAAAGACATGCTATAATGGAATAAAAGAAAAATAATTAATATCGATAATCGGCGATCAACATTAAGATTGATACCGTTATCAATCACACAAATAAAGGAAAGGAGAGATTAACAATGACAAAAGAACGAGAGAATACTAAGACAAAATCTTATTAAGGTGAGATTTTAAAAGTTAATCAAATTGTACCACGTAATATGTAATATTTTAATCATGTTAATAATTTAATTGGTAATTAACGTGACATATCAAATTAATCACTATAATTTTCAAAATTTCAGATATAAATCTTAATTTTAGATTAAAAATTAAATACTAATTTAAAAAATACCTATTTTTATAATAAACCTAAAATATAGGATACTTTACAAATTAATATGAATCATTATACTAACTGAAGGTCCAAGTCTATCTAATTTGGTTCCAGGAACTTTTTTTTTTATTTTAAACTTTTTTAAGGCTTCCAGCTTAATTTACTCAATTATCTTGTTTCTAAAATTATTTATGAAAGTAGCAGCATTTGAGAATTATTTATTAAAGTAATATTTATTTGTATCACGTATAATATTGACCGAGAAAGTATTCTATGTGGTACAAACAATAAAAAATAAGAAAGATGCTTAGAACAAAAAGTACTTTTTCATATAAGTATCCCTTCCAGTTTAAAGTTTAGGCCGGTGACTTCTTCTATATTAAGGAAAATTGATAAGAGTCTAGGTTTAGTTATAAAGATTATTCTATGTTGTTTAAATATAATGAAACCTTAAAATTAGATATTATTAGAAAACAAAAATTACAAATTAGCGATTATAATTCGAGATTACAAGATGTTAAGAGAGGTAATAATTTTTCTATTATAGCGTGGGGTTCTTTATCTTTAGATTGTTTGCCTTCTCTTATATCCATGTCATTATAGACCTTAATATTTTATGTGTACTGAAATATCTAGCAAAATTGAAGGTCGAGTGATAATTTATTTTATTCTCTTTTATTTTTTTATTGGATGAAACTCATATTTATATACCTTAAAGGTTCGAGAAAGATAAAAATATACATCATCCACACGTGTCATGTAAATTGATACATAGATAAACATGCTTCCCACACGTGTCATGTAAATTGATACATAGATAAACATGCTTATGAGATGAATATTTGAAAACTTGAAATAAGTCATAACTGCATCATTAATATTTTTAGATTCATCAAGATTGAATTTGACATAACACCTTGTTATAAAAGATATTTAAATTTAATAAATCATTGTTTAACATTTCACTTGATGAATTATATTCATATATGGGTTATCAAAGATGAATTGGCATTTTTTTTTCTCAATTTTGATATGAAAAAGTGTATTTAATTTTTATAATATTTAAATTATTTAGATTTTTTAAACATCTAAATTTAAAAGTATACATGTTTAATTTTAATTATTATTATAATAATCAGGCTAAAATTAAGTTGATGGTTTAATTAAATTTTTATATATATTTAACCTAGCTAGGTATATCTTGTTTGTAATCTAAAGTATCATTAAATAAACAAATATATAGGTAACACTCTAATAAGGTTGGTTTATTTTGTTCTAATAATTCGTTTCTTTAATAGATTCATTTTAGGTAAGCTGATGTAATAAAGATAAATATTATTATTCTTGCGTGGATTTGACAAGCAAATAAATGCCCACACCGCTTTATTCTTTTTTGAATGGACGGATGAAACTTTATGATTTTTCGGGACCCTTTTTTTATTTAAATATATATTAATAATTAATGATTATTAGATTTATTTAAATATTTTTTGTAAAATAATTATTTTTATAAAGAAATATATCTTCTTTGTAAATATAAATATAGTGGCTCTTAAAATTTAAAATTATGAAGAAATGTATTTGAGATATATATATTATTTTTGTAACTATCGAGTCTATACTATAGATATCAATTTTATAACGACACTGAAAATTAGTTTTTTAGAATTCATTGAAATTCGTTTTTTACACGTGTTTTATTATATGTTAATCTGGTTTTTAATTATGATTTCGCTTGTAAATTCATAAAAGGAAATGCAAAATGAGAGAGATTCCCTTACGAAAATGAGTCTGGGATCAAACTCTGGCATTGATTAGCTACCACATCGATTGGAAACTTAAGTAACCAATGGTTGAGAGTCGAGATGAATGAAATTAATGGGGGAATACATCCAATATGTGGCCTATAAAAAGGGCCTCATCAGCTCATTCCTTACTCAAGCTGAGCCCTTTGGAAACATCTCCAGTCTCCGGAGGCTTCCGACAGTTGCCACCTTTGGCAGCGTTTTGTGCGGAGGAGCAAAAGGTTTTTGAGCTGACATGCGACCCTTTTTCACTCTCCTGTCAAGGCTTCTGATTGCTAAATTAAATTACAGTCCGGAGCCTTGCAAGGGGAGTGGAGAAATGTTGCCATGCTTTTATCAGCTTTTGCTACACACATACATATGTTTTTTTAATTAATTTTTTTTTTCAGGTACTATACGTTGGAGGCCTTCAGTGATGAAGAAATGCGTACCCTGTCTGGCTTTTGCACGTCACCAAATTAACTGCACTATAAAACAAAACAATATTACTGCTTAGCCATGATATTTGCTTCTGCTCTTTTTTTCTTTTCTGGTTTTTTAATATAATTACATGTGTTCTTATTTATTTTACAGTCTAAAAGTATTTAGATTCGAGTCTATATGATTTTTCAATAAATTTACATATGAGTTGCGAAATTGTTACACGTAAGTCTTTTGGATGGTAGCATGTTTATAGGGCAAACCTGATTTTCAAGTTAATGGATGGCCCAGAGATTTTCCAAGGAATGGAAGTGGATCTTAATTATAGTTGAAAATACTAAATTCAAGTTTTTTTTAGATCAAATCATTTTTTTCTTTAATTTTGTTTAGTTGGTGGAGGTATCGGTTTTGATGTTGGTTGTTGACCGTCGGTTCTTTTTTTTTCTTTGTTTTTTTTTATTTTTTAATAAGAATAATTATGTCTTTGTTGCAAATTTTTCGTCTTCATTCTTGGTCGTTTGGTAGTTCCTTTTATTTTATATTTTCTAAGGTTAGATTTGACGACACTATGACTGATCAAGATTGCGCTTATTTGTAATCGTGTTGATCTTCCCTTCTATGAACCTCGAATTGAATTTAAATGTGTGATTTTGCGTTCGTGAGTAGTTTCTCACGACGCTCAGCTTTGATTTACAGTTCTCGATGATTTTTTAATAGTTTAATCCTCTTTTTTGGTTCGTTTGTCAGTGCAGTCAGATTTGTTCGTATTTATTTTTGCATTCGAGTATTTTTGTTATGGTTATTATATAATCTAAAGTGACTAGTTTTAATGTAATAAAAAATGTCCAAATTATATATTTAATTATTATGATAGTTGTAAATCTTTATTGTAATTTTAAATATTTTCATTGTTTAATAAGATTAACTACTACTATTAAAAAAAAGAAAAGAAAAGAAAGATATCCATAAATATCCACACTCATGAAAAGACTAAGGTGATGTTTGTTTTCACTGTGCAAGCTCTTTAAACCACTTATGTCTGCGTCGCGCAGACATTAGGCTTGACAGACTGTTTGTTTTTTAGAAGACAGAAGCTCTTCAAACGTCTGCGCGAGCTCTTCTTGATGCAGACTTGGTTTTATGTCTTCAAAGGTCTTCAAACCTCTTCAAGAACAATTATAAAATATTGTTATTTATTAAAATAATTTTAAATAATTTAATAAGGTTATTTATTTTAAAATAATTTATTATAAAATAATTTATTTTAAAATAATTTATTATAAAATAATTTATTATAAAATAATTTATTATAAAATAATTTATTTTAAAATAAATTATTATAAAATATGGATTGATTTATTTTAAAATAATTTATTTAAAATAATTTATTAGTATGGATTGATTTATTTTAAATAATTTATTAGTATAGATTGATTTATTTTAAAATATGGATTGATTTATTTTAAATAATTTATTAGTATGGATTGATTTATTTTAAAATATAGATTGATTTATTTTAAATAATTTATTAGTATGGATTGATTTATTTTAAATAATTTATTAGTATAGATTGATTTATTTTAAAATATGGATTGATTTATTATTGTAGTTGTATGGATTGATTTATTTTAAATAATTTATTAGTATGGATTGATTTATTTTAAAATATGGATTGATTTATTATTGTAGTTGTATGGATTGATTTATTTTAAATAATTTATTAGTATGGATTGATTTATTTTAAATAATTTATTAGTATAGATTGATTTATTTTAAAATATGTATTGATTTATTTTAAATAATTTATTTGTATGGATTGATTGATTTATTTTAAAATATGGATTGATTTATTATTGTAGTTGTATGGATTGATTTATTTTAAATAATTTATTAGTATGGATTGATTTATTTTAAAATATAGATTGATTTATTTTAAATAATTTATTATTGTAGTTGTATGGATTATTTAAATTTCAGTATTGTAAAACTAAAATTATTTAAATCTCAGTATTGCAAAACGTTTTTAAGTTTAAAAAATCAGTTTATTTATATTTCAGTTCATTTTAGCAGTCTGCAGACGTTAAAAAACAAACAGTCTTCTTCTTGTAAACTGCAGACTTTTGGTCTACCTCTTCTGCTGCAGATGCTTGCAGATGTGATCCGCAAACTGTAGACCTTTTACCTCTGCAAAAACAAACACCACCTAAGATAGTGTTGTCTACCAAGACCGGCTGAACTTTCGGAAGGATTAAGATAGGTAAATTTAACATCCGTTAAATTGTTGAGTGGACGGATCAGTTGCTTGAGTTTATCATTTGCTGTCACTCTTTTTTTTTTTTTGGCAACTTGAATACTTCCATTCTCACGAGATGGATACGTGTTTGAAGTTAATTCCATAGAAAACTTTCCACTAAGGTAGGTCTAACTTTAACAAAGATAGTCACGAGATCTTTGAGTGAGAATGCCCTGCAACTTTATGACTCAAAAGTCCAAAGCAAGTGCATTTCCATGGTGTCCCAACACATTCTGCACTCAAATTAACACGCTCATAACTTGCCAAAGCAACAAGAAACTAGACACCAAAACAAAGAAAACTGGTTTGTCCAAATTCAACCTGCTGCTGCTACTACATGGGGAAATGGAAATAAAAGTCTCCATCTCTGATCTTAATCTTACATATTTACAAATATGGCCACATACCACTGCTACGTAAGTACATACCACCAGATAACCAGACAATATAAACTTATCTTCTTCTACTTGTTGGGAACCTCACACTTCACAGATGAACTACATACCAAGTCAAAAGGAAAGCTAAGAAAGCGAGAAACAAAAAACAAAGAGTGTTAAAAGCCTCGACTCAATTAGTATCGGTTTATGGGCTCCGTCTGGTCCAGCGCTGCCATCCTCTCCGAGACATCAGCTAACGATTTCAAATTACATCGGATTAAAGCCTCGACGAAGTAACCAGTTTCGTCCATGGTGTTTCCTTCCGGTACATCGACGACAAAAGACTCGATCACCATTGTCCCCGGCCTTCCTTCAATAACCTCGGGATGGACCGTCATGATTGAGGAATAATTCTGAATATATATCAACAAAATTAGTACTATAATTAACCAAAGAAGAGTGTTAAGGAGAAAGAATAAATAACAGTGCTTGTACTCACCCTGAGACGGTGATCGCCGCCGACGATTTTGATGCCTAGGATGTGTTCTTCATCGTCAAGAAGCTCTAATCGTTCGGTGCTGGTGGTGGCGGGAAGGCCAGATTTGACGTTGACTTCTCTAACACTGCCGATTCCGATGTCCGCTTTCATTGTACACTTGCTGACGAACGGCTTGTACTTTTGTGGTTGATCAAACCGCCTTACCAATGACCATACCTATCCCATAGTTCATCACAACATAATTTTTTTTAAAGGACATACACAATAGTCCTTCTAACTACAGTACTAGGATATAATAGCTAAACGGAAAACCAGAACAGATGTAATAAACCCATGGTAAAAAAAAAGCTGTCATTCTGGTTAAATTTGGACCATGAACAAGGTTTTGACTTTTGGGTAACAATTCAAAGTGAGAATAGATGCGAGTTTAGTAGATCCAGGGGAGAGTAAAAAAGAAAAACAAGTCAACGGCCTAAGCTGCCGAGAAAACCGAACAAAACCAGTATAAAAAAAAGAGCAAAAATTATACAGACAGACAGAGAAAGCAGAAAGAAGAGCATACAAGATGAGCAGGAGCTTTGATGTGTTTAACAAGAGAAGAGGTGCACTGGTTGTCTCCGATGTCGTGGCTGTGATGTCTCCGTATGTACTGCGCCTCCATACTGTAGGCTTCACCACCACTACTCATTTCTTCTACTTTCCTAAACTGGTATATATATAAAAATCACTTTTGTTTCAGAAACTACAGGAGGGTTCTCAAGTGGGTTTGGTTTTTGGAAGTAAGAGATCTGGTTTACAAATGGGATGGGAGAGACCTCCCTCTTTAGGCTTTGCCTTTTAGGTCTTTGCTTGGAACCATAATCTTAAATACACTATCGATTTTGTTATTATTATTTTTAATAAAATTAATAAAAAATTACTTAAAATATTATTATTTCTATCTAAAATAATATTAGGTGATTTATCAAGGTTGGTAATATATTCGGTAAAGCTCTACCTAAAACATTATATTTTTACCGAATATATTATCAAATATGGTAAAGCACCCAATAATAATATTTCTGATATAAAAATAATGTTTCCGGTAATTTTTATCGGTTTTGTTAAAAAATAATAACAAAACCGATAACGTCTTTCCTTAGCTATATATTAGGCTGCCGCACGTGAGACTTCACAATAACCTTACTTTCCGTTATTAAATTATGTTTTTGCTATCTTTTTATGGTATAAAGATAATTTTAGTATTTCATGTTTATATTATTTTTGTTATTTTAACTTTTTTTTAAGAACAAATTTAATCTTTAATTTATATATTTTTGTTAAATTATTCTTTGAAATAATATATTAATTAAAATATTAAAAAATTAATGACAATGACATGATATATACATATGATAATACATTTTAAATGATATGATTTTTTGTTGCCTTCTTGATTCTCTAGAGTTTTACCCTATTTAATTCAAAATCGACTCAAGTCGTATACTTGGTTTTAGTGAGTGAGCTTCTACTGAAATTTTTTTGTATACACAAGGTTTCAAACTCAAAATATGTTTAAACGATATTAAATTGTTTATCACTTGAATTAATCATGTTAGTTAAAAATGATATGATAATTAACCTGACATATGTAAACGTACATAATATAATTTTAATTTAATTTAAAATATAAATAATAATGAAAAATCAAATATAATAGTAAGAAATATAAATTACATGATTAATCACGTTCGTTTAAGTTTTATATATTTTTTCTTCACTAAATTCAAAAAATATAATATCTGATCACTTTTACTTTTTATTTAATTAAGATATAATCACTGAGAGTTAACCATTATTAGACTTTTAACATATGACTGATGTGGTATAATGAATATATAAAATTAAAAAGGGTAATCTATACAAATGATCACTAATATTTGAGTACATTTTTATTTACCCACTGAAATTTCAAAAGTATCAAATTAATCGAGATTTCTAAAATTAAAATTAATTAATTTTTTTCTATGCTTAAATATAAGAGACTTAGTTTGTTTTTATTTTTTTATATTTTTTTATTTTTATTTTCAACAAATTAAATTAGCTCGAAAATATCTTTATTGTTTCTAGGCATACATGATATTTATAAATATAATTTGCTCTATGTTCGATTTCTAAAGCTAGGTGTGTTAAAAGTCATCATGGGCGGCTAATCTTCTAGATGGAAGCCAACTACTTTGATTTAATTCAAAGATGGTTGCATTTTGTTGAAAAAAAGGGATAATTATGACATTTTAATCATTAAACTTTAGGGTATTTACAAGATTAAGTCCTTAAGATTTAGCTATAAATACCCTATCCCATTTAGCTTCAAAATCATCCCAAAGCATTCTAGTTTTCTTCCAATACTAGAGAGAATTTAGAGAGTTTCTTGAGAGTTGTTTTCTCCTTTTTATCAAGAGAGAATTATCATTGTTTTCTCCTTGGTAGATCGAGAGATGTTGTAATTCCTATTTTCTCATAGTGAAATTCTTCTACCGTTGCACGTGGTTTTTACCCTATATAATTTAGGGGTTTTCCACGTAAATTTTGTCTCTTTTTATCTTCATTTTTATTTTCTCAAATTATCAGTTGCGATTTTGCTCTATCCGATAGCCGTCTTCCGCAACAATTGGTATCCGAGCTAGATTAGAGTGTGTAATATATGCTTATTGTCTTTGTGGTTGCCACCAAAAGGTGGATCCTCCAACATAAGAAAATAAGAAGTTATTACCCATTCTTTGAAGGTTCCAGAGAACTATTCACGATAGTGAAATAGTGGGAGCTATCCGTAAAAGAAGCTATGGCAACGAAATTTGATATTGAAAAATTCAATGGGAGAAATTTTTCATTGTGGAAATTGAAGATGAAGGCCATCCTAAGGAAAGACGGGTGTCTAGCGGCTATCAATGAAAGACCGGTGGATTTTGCAGATGACATCAAATGGAACGAGATGGACGGGAATGCTATGGAAAACTTTCATCTAGCATTAGCAGATGAAGTATTGTCAAGCATCGAGAAGAAGAAGACAGCTAAGGAGATATGGGATCATCGAAGCCACCTGCACGATAGCCACATCGCTGCACAAAAAATGTTTCCTTAAGAGGTTGTACAGTAAGAATCTACTTCAGTGACGGAGCACTTAAATACACTGAACACCTTATTTTCTCAGCTTACATCCTTAAACTGTAAAATAGGAGAACAAGAACGTGCTGAACTTCTACTTCAAATTCTATCGGATTCATATGATCAACTCATCATCAACTTGACAAACAGTAATGTCACCAGTCTAGTCTTCGATGACGTTGCAGCTGCTGTTCTACAAGAAGAAAATCGGCGCAAGAACAAGGAAGACAGACAAGTAAATCTGCAACAAGTAGAAGCGTTGACAACGATGACAACGATGAGAGAGAGATCAATAGAATGTGGCCAAAGCAGTAGTCACAAACATAGTAGATCGAAGTCGAGAAGCAAGAAGAATTTAAAGTGTTACAACTGTGGAAAGAAGGGTCACTTGAAGAATGATTGTTGGAGTCTAAATAAAAACTCCAATCCACAAGGCAATATCGCAAACACTTCAGATGATGGAGATGCTCTATGCTGTGAAGCGTCAACCACCTTGGAAGGAAGAAAACGATTTGCAGATATATGACTCATTGATTTGGGAGCAACATATCACATGACCTCAAGAAGAGAATGGTTCCATCATTATGAACCTGTCTCAGGAGGATCTGTGTATAGTTGCAATGATCATGCCTTAGAGATCGTTGGCGTGAGAACCATCAAATTGAAGATGTATGATGGAACAATTAAAGTTGTTCGAGATGTGCGGCACGTGAAAGGTCTGAAGAAAAATTTATTATCCTACGGATTGTTGGATAATAATGCTAGCAAGATTGAAACACAGAAAGGAATCATGAAGGTGTTCCGTAGAGCGCTTGTGGTGCTGAAAGGTGAAAAGATAGCTGCAAACTTGTACATGCTGAAGGGAGAGACATTGGTAGAAGCAGAAGCCTCTGTTGCCTCATGTAGTTCAGATTCTGCAATGCTATGACATAAAAAACTTTGACACATGTCAGAACAAGGAATGAAAGTCCTTATGGAGCAAAAGCTACTTCCAGGCTTAACAAATGTATCACTTACTTTATGTGAGCATTGCATAACAAGTAAGCAGCATCGGTTGAAATTCAACACATCAAATTCTAGAGGCAAAAGTGTTCTAGAACTGGTTCACTCTGACGTATGCAAGCACCAGTTACATCCCTAGGCGGAGCAAAATATTTTGTCTCATTTATTGATGACTACTCCAGGAGATGTTGGGTGTACCCTATTAAGAAGAAGTCCGATGTGTTTTAAACTTTCAAAAACTTCAAAGCGCGGGTGGAACTTGATTCTGGAAATAAAATCAAGTGTTTCAGAACAGATAATGGAGGAGAATACACAAGCGAAGAATTTGATGACTTTTGCAAGAAAGAAGGCATCAAAAGACAGTTCACAGTGGCAAACACTCCTCAACAAAATGGAGTGGAAGAGTGTATGAACAGAACCTTGTTAGAAAGAACAACAGCAATGTTGAGGGATGCAGGCCTAGAAAAATCATTCTGGGTAGAAGTAGTCAATACCGCCTGTTATTTGGTGAATCGAGCTCTATCAACTGCAATAGAGCTGAAGACACCAATGGAGATGTGGACTGGTAAACCAGTTGATTATTCAAACCTCCATGTATTTGGAAGTATTGTGTATGTGATGTACAACGCCCAAGAAATTTCAAAGCTGGATCCAAAATCCAGGAAATGCAAATTCTTGGGGTATGCTGATGGAGTAAAGGGGTATCGCTTGTGGGATCCCACTGCCCGCAAAGTGATCATTAGCAGGGATGTTATCTTTGTAGAAGATAAGCTACAAAGAAAAAAAGACGATGATAACGCTGAAAAGTCAGAGACTACATAGATACATGTGAAAAAGGAGTTTGAACAAGGAGATTCTTCTGAAGCAGAACCAGCACATGATGAACAAGAACCAAAGAGTTCTGAAGCTCCAACAACTCGTCAATCAGATCGTGTGAGAATATGTCCCAATTGGCACTCAGATTATGTTATAGAAGGAAATGTTGCATACTGTCTTTTAACAGAGGACGGTGAACCATCAACATATCAAGAGGCAATAAACAACTCAGATGCTTCACTGTGGATAATGGCGATGCAAGAAGAAATCGAAGCCCTTCATAAAAATAATACATGGGACCTTGTGCCACTACCACAAGGAAGGAAGCCAATTGGTAACAAATGGGTTTTCAAAATCAAACGAAATGGTGACGATCAAGTAGAGAGGTATCGTGCAAGACTGGTGGTCAAAGGATATGCTCAGAAAGAAGGTATTGATTTCAATGAAATTTTTTCTCATGTGGTTCGACTAACAACAGTTCGAGTAGTCTTGGCAATGTGTGCTACATTGAATTTACATTTGGAACAGCTAGATGTTAAAACAGCTTTTCTTCATGGAAATCTTGAAGAAGAGATTTATATGCTCCAGCCTGAAGGTTTTGAAGAATACGAAAAGAAGAATTTGGTTTGCAGGTTGAACAAATCTCTGTACGGTCTAAAGCAGGCGCCGAGGTGTTGGTATAAGAGATTTGATTCCTTCATTATGTGCCTTGGATACAACAGACTTAATGCAGACCCTTGTGCTTATTTCAAGAGGTCTGGTGATACATGCATCACAAGGTTCACATCAAAGGAAGAAGTAATAACTCTTCCAAATGATCCACTCGTCCAAGCTTTGGAAAAGAAGATCAGAACAGCAGCGC